CATATGGATGCATCATATAGATGCATCTAGCTAGAAATGTGTTCTCTCTCTAGAGTAATGTGTGCTTATTTAAAAGTCAAGTATGTGGCCAGGCGTGGTGGCTCATGCTTGTAATCCCAGCACTTTGGGAGGCCGAGGCGGGTAGATCATGAGGTCAGGAGTTCGAGACCAACCTGACCAACATGGTGAAACCCCATCTCTACTAAAAATACAAAAAATACAAAAATTAGTTGGGCATGGTGGCGGGCACCTGTAGTCCCAGCTACTCAGGAGGCTAAGGCAGGAGAATCTCTTGAATCGCTTGAACCCGGGAGGCGGAAGTTGCAGTGAGCTGAGATTGTGCCACTGCACTCCAGCCTGGGTGACAGAGTGCGTCTCCGTCTCAAAAAACAAACAAACAAAAAAACCCCTCAATTATTAGGAAGGAGAGGAGAAGATATTTTGAGGCATAACTAGCAGCCGACTACATTTTAAGTTTTGGCTTTAGTTTTCTCAGAGCTGGTGTCATTGAAGAGATTATGCTGAGTACTTCTGGGAAGTGGGGATAAGCAGTAAGACCAAGAAGAGAGAGTTCAGGGAGAGAAGAGGGCTCCTGTACCAGTGATCTATTGCTACATAGTAAAACATCTCAAAAATGTTAGTGTTAAATATTGACAACATAGGTGAGCTGGGTTGTGATTTAAAAAAATTAAAAAAGAAAAAAATATTGACCACATATATTATGCTCACAGATCTACTATTTTTGTAGCATTTGGTGGAGACAGTTTATTTCTGCCCTACTCAGTATCAGCTCAAGCATCTCAAAGCCTGGGTGCTGAGATCATCTGAGGGCTCTCTTAGTGACCTGTCTGGTTATTGCGGGTTGTTGGCTGGGACTTTAGTTGGTCTTGTGGCTAAAACACCTACATATGGCCTTTCTGTATGGATGTGTGGCTTTCCCATAGCCTGGGGCATGGGTTCTAAGAGCAAGCCTCCTGAGAGCAATTATAAGCAGACACTTATTGCCTTTTATTTATTTATTTATTTATTTATTTTATTTTTGTTTGTTTTTTGAGACGGAGTCTCGCTCTGTCGCCCAGGCTGGAGTGCAGTGGCCGGATCTCAGCTCACTGCAAGCTCCGCCTCCCAGGTTCACACCATTCTCCTGCCTCAGCCTCCCAAGTAGCTGGGACTACAGGCACCCACCACCACGCCTGGCTAGTTTTTTGTATTTTTTTTTTTAGTAGAGACGGGGTTTCACTGTGTTAGCCAGGATGGTCTCGATCTCCTGACCTCGTGATCCGCCCATCTCAGCCTCCCAAAGTGCTGGGATTACAGGCTTGAGCCACCGCGCCCGGCCTTTGCCTTTTATTTTTATTATCTTTTTATTTATTTTTTGAGATGGAGTCTCACTCTGTTGCCCAGACTGGAGTGCAGCGGCACAATCTCAGCTCATTGCAACCTCGGTCTCCCAGGCTCAAGGATTCTCTGCCTCAGCCTCTCCAGTTGCTGGGATCACAGGCGCACATCACCACACCCAGCTAATTTCATATTTTTAGTAGAGGCAAGGTTTCACCATGTTGGCCAGACTGGTCTCGAACTCAAGAGATCTGCCTACCTTAATTTCCCAGAATGTTGGGATTACAGCCGTGAGCCACAGTGCCTAGCTTATTGCCTTTTATTTATTTTATTATATTTCATTTCATTTTATTGTTTTGAGACAGAGTCTTGCTCTGTCGCCCAGGCGGGAGTGCAATGGCACAATCTCGGGCTCACTGCAACCTCCACCTCTCGGGTTCAAGTGATTCTCCTGCTTCAGCCTCCTGAGTAGCTGGGACTACAGGCACCCACCTTGGCCTCCCAAAGGGTTGGGATTACAGGCATGAGCTACTGCACACGCCCAATTTTAAATCTTAAGTATTTATTTTACTTATCACCTATGTAAGAAAATATATAACCACCTCACCAGAGAGAGATACCACTGCTTAGGATGAGGCTGAATTTATTTAGGTAAAAAATAGTGAGTCAATTTAAAGAAGTACCTTAAGTAAATAAATCTGAGTGAGGACTAGAGAAGGTTCTGCAGCAAGTTCAGGGTGCAGTGCAAGCTGCTCTTTCTCTTGGCCCTTATGATCCACAGACCCAACAATATCCGAGTGTCTGTGGCAATGGGGATGCTATATGGAGGCCCTGGGAAGCACCAGTAAGAGAATCACAGCACAGGCCTCTAGGGTTTGGGAACGGATGCACAGCCTGTTCCACAGATACCTGTTCTTCTGGCTTGCTGCTGGTCCCTGGTAGAAACAGAACACCTAGTTATGGGTCGTGAAGTGGCCGCATGCACACTGCATGTTGTCTTACTTACCCCGCCACGGGACTGGGCACATGCAGCAGCAATCTCTAATCACGTGGAGACTGCATATGTACACTGGGCTCGAGCAGGCTCAGACGGCACAAGTGAGCTGTGCGAGCAGGTGGCGCAGACTCCTTCGACAGTGATTCTTGCCATGTTGCCTGTTTTCCTTCTTTCCTGGAACCTCATAGAAAGTTCCTTGTGTCGGCCAGGCACTGTGGTTCACCCCTGTAATCCCAGCACTTTGGGAGGCCGAAGCAGGCGGGTCACCTGAGATGAGGAGTTTGAGATCAGCCTGGGCAACATGGTGAAACCCCGTCTCTACTAAAAATACAAAAATTAGCCCAGTGTGGCCTGTAATCCCAGCTACTCGGGAGGCTGAGGCATGAGAATCACTTGAACTCAGGAGGCTAAGGTTGCAGTGAGCCCGAGATCACGCCACTGCACTCCAGCCTGGGCGATAGAGCAAGACTCTGTCTCAAAAGAAAAAAAAAAAAGTTCCCGTGTCAGTTGTGTCAGTTGACAGAAGAGGAAAAAAATCCAGGCTTGGTTTATAGATGGTTCCTGTACAACAGAGAGTGGACAGCTGGAGCCCTCCAGCCCCTCTCCAGGGTGGCCGTGAAGGACAAGTGGTGAAAGAAAATCTTCCTGGGGGCAGAACTTCAAGAGGCACATTTGTTTGTCTACTTTGCCTGGATGGAGAGACAGCCAGATGGAGGGATCTATGTAGATTCACTGGCAAGAACATGGAAGGTGACAAGGAGGTCTGGGGAAGAAGTATGTGGACAGATCTCTCCAAACAGGCCCAGAATATAAAGATATTTGGGTCCCACGTGAATGCACACCAAAGGGTATCACTGCAAAGGAGGCTCTTGACTATCAGGGGAACAAGGCATGTTCTCTGGAGGTTAGGCTATCTCTTTTTCCAGCTACCATTGCTTGCCCAAATAACCTATGTAACAAAGTGGCTGTGTGGCAAGATTGGAGGCTATGCACGAGCTCAACAACATGGACTTCCCCTCACCAAGGCTGAGTAAGCCATCTACTAACTGCCTAATCTGCCAACAGCAGAGACCAACACTGAATCCACTGTGGCTCCTTGTGGGACCCAGCCAGCCATCTAGTGGCAAATTGATTACACTGGACTTTTTCCATCATGGGAAGGACATTATACACATATTCTGGATTTGCTTTCCCTGTTCATCTTGTTTCTGCCAGCACCACCATGCATGGATTTACAGAGGGCCTTCCTCACCATCCTTAACGCTCCACTCAGTACTGCTTCTGATCAAAAGATGAGCAACAATGGCCTACTGCCCATGGAACAAACTGTTTTTTTGGTTATTGTTTTTCTTCTTCTTTTCTTTCTTTCCTTCCTTCCTTCCTTCTTTCCTTCCTTCCTTCCTTCCTCCTTCCTTCCTTCCTCCTTCCTTCCTTCCTTTTTCTTTTTTTTTTTTTTCTGAGATGGATTTTCACTCTTGTTGCCCAGACTGGGGTGCAATGATGAGATCTCAGCTCACTGCAACCTCTGCCTCCCCAGTTCAAGCAATTCTCCTGCCTCAGCCTGCCAAGTAGCTAAGATTACAGGCACCTGCCACCACACCTTGCTAAATTTTGCATTTTTAGTAGAGAGGGATTTTCCTCATATTAGCCAGGCTGGTCTCGAACTCCTGACCTCAGGTGATCTGCCCACCTCGGCCTCCAAAAGTGCTTGGATTACAGGGGTGAGCCACCATGCCCAGCCCTTGTTTGTTTGTTTTTAAGGCAGGATCTCACTCTGTCACCCAGGTTGGAGTGCAGTGGTATGATCTCAGCTCACTGTAGCCTCAAACTCTTGAGCAAGTGATCCTCCCAGCTCAGCCAGCCAAGCAGTTAGGACTACAGACACACACCACCATACCTGGCTAATTTTTATTTTATTTTATTATTTTGTTTTGTTTTGTTTGAGACAGGGTCTCGCTTTGTCGCCCAGGCTGGAGCGCAGTGGTGTGATCTTGGCTCACCGCAACCTCTGCCTCTCAGGTTCAAGTAATTCTCTTCCCTCAGCCTCCCAAGTAGCTGGGATTATAGGCGCCTGCCACCAAGCCCAGCTAATTTTTGTATTTTTAGTAGAGACAGGGTTTCACCATGTTGGCCAGGCTGGTCTCGAACTCCTGACCTCAAGTGATCCACCCGCCTTGGCCTCCTGAAGTGCTAGGATTACAGGTGTGAGCCACTGCGCCCAGCCAAGCCTGGCTAATTTTTGTATTTTTAGTAGAGACGAGGTTTCACCCTCTTGACCAGGCTGGTCTTTAACTTCTGACCTCATGATCCACCTGCTTCAGCCTCCCAAAGTGCTGGAATTACAGGCATGAACCACTGCGCCTGATCTCACTTTTTCTTTTCTTTGTTTCTTCTTTTCTTTTCTTTCTTTCTTTCTTTTTTTTTTTTTTTTTTTTGAGACGAGTCTCACTCTGTCGCCTAGGCTGGAGTGCAGCAGTGTGATCTCGGCTCACTGCAACCTCCACCTCCTGGGTTCAAGTGATTCTCCTACCTCAGCCTCCCGAGTAGCTGGGGTTACAGGTGTGCGCCACCACGTCTGGCTAGTTTTATATTTTTAGTGGAGATGGGGTTTCACCATGTTGGCCAGGCTGGTCTCGAACTCCTGGCCTCAAGCGAACCGCCCGCCTTGGCCTCCCAAAGTGCTGGATTACAAGCGTGAGCCAACACGCCCGGCCCCAGAGACCACTTTCGCTGGGCAGAGGGGATGGAGCTGCGGGGAACAGGCTTGCGCGCTGCGGAGCCGGGAATTACTGAGTCCCACGAGGCGCGGGCAGGACTGGCGCTGTTTTTTTCCAGCTCGCGGGCTCTCCGTTCATAATATGACATCTCCAACAGTCAGCTCGGAGGCAGCTGAGCACTAACCCGCTTTGTTTTCCAAAGTGCCACGCTTCACCCACTCGGCAGGATGTGCTGCACCTTCAGGGCCGCAGCTGCAGCTCGCGGGCTCCAGGCGTTCACGTGGCTGGGCCGGGCGCAGGAGGCTGCCCTCACCCTTGGGACGGTGCCCCCCAGGCCCCGGGACTGGAAGGAGCTGAGGCGACGGCGGGAGTGGGCCCAGCCCCCGGGAGGCTGAGGCCTCAGGAGCGGACCTCACTGCAGGCGGCCCAGGTGGGAACGGCGGGGGAGTCCCAGGTCGTGGGGGTGACCCAGCAGCCAGGGCTGACGGAGACGTGGCCGTAAGGTGGGGAAACCCGGGGAAGGGCGGGTGGCGGGAACCCCCTGGGCAGGCGGGCGCGTGGGGGCGGACCCGGTGGGCGTGGCGGGCTTCAGGGGCGTGGCCTGGGCGCTGAGGCCGTGTCACGTGACAACGACCGACGCTTGAAGTGCAGTTGGGCGAACCGGAGGCGTCTGGAAGGATCAGTTTCGCGTTTGGGGGAAAGGTCTCTCTGGCACCTGGGGCAGGAGAGGGTGAGCCGGAGGAAGAGAGCCCGGGAGAGGCGGCGATTTCAGAAGTACCTGAATGGGGAGAAGCCCGTCCCGGAGCCACGACAGTGGGGACCGCTGGAGAGATGCTGGGGACCGGCCTCCACGACCTGGTGGGGAGAGGGGAGGGGACGAGCGGCGGACACCCTGAACCCTCAGTCCTCGAGGCCCTGACAGCGACCCTCTCTCATGCTGCCCCAGAGGAGGGGTTGGAAGGAGCAGCTGGCCCCACGCCCGGCTTCCCAAGACTGCGGGCAGCGCTCCTTAGGAGTCTGTCCGGGGCCGGCCGCTTCCGCCACTGACAGCCGAGTCGCCCGGGCCGCAGGAAGGGCCTGGTGCGCGGCCATCTGCTGACCAGTCTGGAGCTAGCGTGGTGGCCTCGGCTGCGCTGACAGTGAGGCTACCGAGCTCTCTTACACGCCATCAGGCTTCACAGGCCCCTCACCCGGCTAAGCCCGGGCATGGCATGCCTTGAGGGTATCCAAGTCTGTGACATCTTAGCAGAAATCCAAGCTAGCCCTCCCCACCCGCTCCACTCTACCTTCCCTTCACTTGGAATCGGAACTGTTTTATTTCAGCTCCGAATGTGATGATGATGACCCAATAAAATCCACCGTGAATTGAGCCCTCATTGTGTGTGCCCCGCTCTGTGCTAAGCATTTGTCATGCGTTCTCTCATATAATCCCCGGACCTCCTACCACTTTCCTTATTTTTGCCTTGCCAGCCCTAATTGTAAAACTGAACACTTATTATTACAATGATTTAATTGACTCAAATTTAAACTTAGAGGTGCTATACGAAATCACAGGTTTGATGTGCAATGTTTATTTCACTAATTCATATACAGTATATAGACCTTGAAAATGTTTGAAACTGGCCGGGCATGGTGGCTCACGCCTGTAATCCCAGCACTTTGGGGGGACGAGGCGGTCGGATCACCTGAGATCAGGAGTTCAAGACCAGCCTGGCCAACATGGCGAAACCCTGTCTCTACTAAACATACAAAAATTAGCCAGGCGTGGTGGCGCGCACCTGTGGTCCCAGCCACTCGGGAGGCTGAGGCACGAGAATCTCTTGAACCCGGGAGGCAGAGGTTGCAGTGATCCAAGATTGTGCCACAGCACTCCAGCCTGGGCAACAGAGCAACTCCGTCTCAAAAAAAAAAAAAAAAAAAAAAACATACACACATTTAACAAACTGCATCGGTCTCTTTTCTTTTCTTTTTTGAGACTGAGTTTCGCTCTTGTTGCCCAAGCTGGAGTGCAATGGCGCGATCTCGGCTCACCGCAATCTCCCCCTCCCGAGTTCAAGCGATTCTCCAGCCTCAGCCTCCCGAGTAACTGGGATTACAGGCGCGTGCCACCATGCCCAGCTAATTTTTTGTATTTTTAGTAGAGACGGGGTTTCACTGTATTAGCCAGGATGGTCTCAATCTCTTGACCTTGTCATTTGCCCCCCTCGGCCTCCCAAAGTGCTGTGATTACAGGTGTGCGCCACTGCGCCCGGCCCTTTTTTTTTTTTTTTTTTTTTTTTTTTTGAGACAGGGTCTTACTCTGTCACACAGGCTGGAGTGCAGTGACGCGGTCACAGCTCACTGCAGCCTCAGCCTCCCCAGGTTCAGGCGATCCTCTCACCTCAGCCTCTTGAGCAGCTGGGACTGCAAGCGCGCAGCAGCACGCCTGGCTAATTTTTGTATTTTTTGTAGAGATGGGTTCCGCCATGTTGCCCCAAGCTGTTCTGGAACTCCTGGGCTCAAGCAATCTGCCTGCCTCGCCCTCTACCATGCCCAGCCCTGCCTCATTCTTTTTAATGGTTATGTGGTATTTCTTTTTAAAATTTTTTGTTTGGGTTTTCTTTCAGAGTATGTTGCCCAGGGTGGACTCGAACTCCTGGGCTCAAAAAATCTGTATTTTATTGTTTTATTTGACTATGAATTATTTAGTTGTTTTATGTTCAGGCAGCTGATGTTTCTAGTTATATATTTCTATTAATTTTAGCTTAATTCCATTGTGATTGAAGAACATACTCTATGTAATTGCAGTTAAGAACATTTGTTAGGCTTTCTATACAGCTCTGCATATAAACAACTTTGGTAAAAATTTTCCTTGTGAATTTGAAAAGAATGAATTCAGTTGTTGAGTTCAGAGCTCTATATATGTTAGTTGATGCAGTTTGTTAATTGCATTGTTCAAATCTATATCTTTACTTCTTGTTTTTTCTCTCAGCTGATATGAAATATATATTTTAAAGTCTCCTACAATGATTGTGAATTTGTCTACTTCTCTTTTTAGTTTTCTCTGCTCTGTATATTTTGAACCTGTGCTGTTAGGTGCATACAGATTTAGCATTGTGATGTCTTCCTTTTTGATTGCTTCCTTTAGCATTATGAAATAGCCTCTTTACCTCTTGTTACGTTTCTTCCCTTAAAGTATACTTTTATGTTTGTTTGTTGTTTTTATTTTTGAGATGAGGCCTCACTCTGTCCCTCAGGCTGGAGTGCAATGGCCTGATCAGGGATCACTGCAGCCTCTACCTCCTGGGCTCAGGAGATCTGGGATCCCACCTGACCCTCCCAAGTAGCTGGAACTACAGGCCCACACCACAGCCAGCTTTTTTTTTTTTTTTTTTTTAGGCAGAGTCTCTCTGTCACCCAGGCTGTACTACAGTGGCACGATCTTGGCTCAGTGCAAGCTTCACCTCCCGGGTTCACACCATTCTCTTGCATCAGCCTCCTGAGTAGCTGGGACTACAGGTGCCTGTCACCACACCTGGCTAATTTTTTGTATTTTTAGTAGAGACGGAGTTTCACTGTTGTTAGCCAGGATGGCCTCGATCTCCTGACCTCATGATCAGCCCGCCTCGGCCTCCCAAAGTGCTGTAATTACAGGCGTGAGCCACCATGCCCGGCCTAATTTTTGTATTTTTTTTTTTTATAGAGGCGGGGTTTCATCCTGTTGCCCAGATGGGTCTGGAACTCCTGAGCTCAAGTGATACGCCTGACTCTGCCTCCTCCTAAAGTGCTGGGACTACAGGCATGAGCCACTGTGCCCAGTCATGTTTTCAGGGAAGATAGTAATATTAAGGTGTATTTTTCTTTTTCTTCCATTCTTTCTTTGTCCTTTTATGTATTTTATTTATATATATTTTTTGAGACAGGGTCTTGCTGTGTTTCCGAGGCTGGAGTGCTGTGGCCTGATCACGGCTCAGTGCAGCCCCGACCTCCTGGTTTCAGGTGATGCTCTCACCCCAGCCTCCCGAGTAGCTTGGATTACAGGAGTACGCCACCATGCCCAGCCAATTTTCGTATTTTTTGGAGAGGTGGGGTTTTGCCATGTTGCCCAGGCTGGTCTTGAGTGTTTCTGCCAAAAATGCACAACCTGATCTAATCTGGAAACAGCCAACAAACCCAGAATGTGGAACATTCTTTTTTTTTTTTTTTTTTTTTTTTTTTTTTTTTTTTTTTTTTTTGAGAATTTTCACTCTTGTCGCTCAGGAACTTCTGAGCTCAAGTGATCCATCCAACTCCACCTCCCAAAGTGCTGGGATTACAGGTGTGAGCCACTGCGCCCCGCCTCCTCTTGTCATTTTATTTAAAGTGTGCCTATTTTATGTAGCATTGTTTGCTGATTTTTAAAAATAGTCTTAGAATCTTACTTGGAATATTTAATATATTTACATTTTGCATTTATCATATAATCAGATTTATATTTATTGTATCTTTTTTTTTTTTTTTAAGACGGAGTCTCACTCTGTTGCCGGGCTGGACTGCAGTGGTGCAATCTCGGCTCACTGCAACCTCCGCCTCCCAGGTTCAAGAGATTCTCCTGACTTAGCCTCCCGAGTAGCTGGGACTACAGATGTGTGCCACCACACCCAGCTAATTTTTGTATTTTTAGTAGAGGCGGGGTTTCACCATGTTGCCCAGGATGTTCTCGATATCTTGACCTCGTGATCCGCCTGCCTTAGCCTCCCAAAGTGCTGGGATTTGGTCCATCTTTTAAATGTCGTTTCCTCCTCCTTTCTTGTCTTCTTTTGGATTAATCAAACACATTTCCTTCTTTTGTTAGTTTTACATTCTTTTTCTGTTCTGTTAGTTATTAGCCTAAGGGTTATATAATATAGATACTTGACTTATTATGGTGGAACACAGAGTATTGCCTTAACCACAGCTCCAGTGCTGCAGAACATGTTTTAAGTACATTTATTGCCTCCTACTTTTTCTGTTATTGCTGTCATGCATTTTAATTCTACAAATATTTTAAACTCCTTATGTCATTGCAATTATTGGCTTATCCACATATTTACCTTTCTGTGTTTATGTGTGTTTTTTTGTTTCTATGTCTCTCTGGTATCATTTTTCCTCTGCCTGAAATATTCTCTTTCGTAAAAGGTATGAACCTGCTTGCAACACAGTTCCTCATTTTCTTTTCTTTCTTTTTTCTTTTTTTTTTTTTTTTGCCCCCAGTCTTTAATTAACCTTCAGCTCGAAAGGAAAATATTGAGGCCTATAGAATTCTCGGTTAGCAGATGTCTTTAAAGTGCTCAGAGAGATGTTATTCCATTGTCTTCTGCATTCCATTATGTCTATTTAGAAGTCAGCCATAAGTCATATTATTGTTCCTTGGTAGGTAAATGTCTCTTTTGTTCTTAAGCTGCTTTTAACATTTTCTCTTTGGTTTTGGTTTTCCTCAGTTTGACTGTGGTGTCCTCAGCTGTGTTTTTCTTCACATTTATCCAGCTGGTGGTTTGTTGAGCTTTTTGAAGTAATAGGGTGAATATCTTCCATCAGTTTTGGAAAATTCCTGGACATTATGTCTTCAAATATTTTTTCCTGCTCCATTATCACTCTCCTATCCTTCTGTGACTCCACTTTCGTACATTCTCTTACCTGATTTTTTTTTCCCATTCTTTATTCTCATTGTGTTTTACTTGGGGTGTTTTCCATAGATTCATATTCCAGGTCAAAAATCCTGTATTCTGCTGTGAAATCTACCTAAGAATCTGAGTTCTTAACATCAGATGATAAGTATTTCAGTTCTGGAATATTCATCTGATTCTTTTTTATAGATTTCTTTTTTTTCTTTTTTTCTTTTTTTAAGACAAGGTCTCACTCTGTCACCCAGGCTGGAGTGCAGTGGCACAATCTCAGTTCACTGCAACCTCCACCTCCCGGGTTTAGTCAATTTTCATGCCTCAGCCTCCCAAGTAGCTGGGATTACAGGCGCATGCCACCATGCCCAGCTAATTTTTATTTCTATTTTTTGGTAGAGACAGAGTTTCACCATGTTGGCCAGGCTGGTCTCGAACTCCTGACCTTAAGTGATCCACCCACCTCGACCTCCCAAAGTGCTAGGATGACAGGCGTAAGCCACTGCACCTGGCCTTCTTATAGATTTCAAATCTCTCGTGTAATTCTCTCTGCT